TAAATGAAGTTTAGGAATATTGTCTTGTCCGGGGTACAGTTCAGGGGCACAGTGCCTGCCTGCCAAGTTTGTGGTCACGAGTTCAATTCCAAGTCCAAAAATTAAAAAATGTCTCTAGTTCTGGGAGGAATGCTAGTGGTATTTTCATTGCTATTTATAAATTCTGTATTACAATTTTGGGACTATGGCCATTTTTCACTATATTCGATCTTCCTATTCATAAGCAAGTGAGATCTTGTATTTTCTGATATTCCATTTGATATTTTTAAAGAACACTTTAGATACTTCATTTGTTAGACTGATTCTAAGAATTTTTTTTTTGTTCATATGAGGAGGATGTTATTGTGAAGTAAGTATTCTCACTTATTTCTTTCTCACTATGTTTTTTTTTGTGTGTGTGTGTGTGTGTAGGTATACTACTGATTTTTGAGTGTTGACTTTGTATCAAGCTATTACAATTTTTGTGGCATTCTCTATAGAGCATATGTTTTCTGAACATAATACTAATTTAACTTCTTTTCCTATTCTCATTCCTTTTTAATTCTTTAAAGAATACAACATAGTGATAGAAGAAAAGGTTTAGAAACAATGCCAATTTCATTTTAACAAAGTAATAGGAATTCAGCAATGGTTACTATATAACATGATGCTGTCTTCAAATTAGTTGCTCGAAGGGCTGGGGAGATGGCTCAGAAGGATAAACGCTTGACTGGCAAATGCAAGGATCTGAGTTCAATCCCCGGTTCCGCAAAAAACAAAACAAAACAAATTAGTTGCTCGGGCTACCAAATGTAAATGTGCAAGGTTTGCTTAAACAAAACAAAACAATTACTTTTCTTTCTTTCTCTTTTCTAATTGATTCCACTACTGTTTCCAGAATTATATTTAGTAGGAGTGATGAGAGTGAACATCCTTGTTTTGTTCTTGATTGCACAGTGAGATTTCATTTTTTGGACCATTTTATGTACTGTTAACTGTTTGTTTCTCATAGATGGCTCAGTGGATATGAACATTGTTATTGGTAGTTTGCTGTTTAAATCTTATATATCTAATTTATTCTCAAAATATTTTGGTGAGGGGCCGGGGAGATGGCTCAGTAGGGTAAGTGCTTGCCTGGCAAGTGCAAGGACCTGAGTTCAATCCCCAGTTCTGAAAAAAAAAAAAAAAAAAAAAAAATTGATGACTTAATGATAACAGTATAAAATCTTTGGTGGATTCAGAACCTTTCTTCATTGGGTATGGGGTAGTGGCTGAGAGTGTATGTGTGCTAAATTCCTGACTCAAACTTTGCTTTCCTTACTTATGACCACTGTTGTTTTCTTTCTTTGTCTTTTTTTTTTTTTTGCAAAACTGAGGGTTGACCTCAGGCCCTTGCCAGACAAGCGCTTATTTTCCTGAGCCATGTCCCCAGCCCCTCTGAGAGCTGTCTTGTTGGTGCGGAGTTGCTGTGTTTTTCCACAACTCAATTTTCTTGATTCTCTCAAGATTTGGTCTTGTTTCTATACTGTTTATCTTGAGTTAGATATGTCTTACGTTTTTTTTGTTTGTTTTCTTTTGTTTTTTGTGGAACCGGGAATTGCGCTCAGGCCCTTGTGCTTGTCAGGGAAGTGCTTATTTTACTGAGCCATCTCCCCGACCCCTCTTATATATTTTATTTATTTATTTATATTTATTTATTTATTTTTGGTGGTACTGGGGATTGAACTCAGGACCTTATGCTTGCCAGGCAGGCGCTTATTCTACTGAGCTATCTCCCCAGCCTATAGCAATTTTTTTTTCTTTTACATATTTTAGAGATTTGTGTTCAGTGATGTTTGTTCTCTAATGAGTTAATGATATCGCTCAGTCATTGCAGGCCAATCAAGCCCACAGTCTCAAAAAAAAGAGCATGGTGAAGGTTTAAATACATAAGACAAATGGTGCAATTTTAGGGCTTTACTAGGTTCCAAACCCTCTAACAGAATTTGAGATTCTCTGGAACTCAGAGAAGAAACTTCCCAGGGTGGCCCATATTTATTAGGTTTTTTTTTTTTTAATTTATTTTTTTTTAAATTAGGTTTTTAAAAGAGAGGGATATTTAAGAAAACACAAGGATTTTAGCAGAACATTGGGAAATATTTTAGTAAATATTTTAGTGAATTATGTCAGTCAGTAGAACTACCATGGGGCCGGGGAGATGGCTCAGTGGAATAAGCGCCTCCCTGGCAAGCACAAGGGTCTGAGTTCAATCCCCGGTTCTACAAAAAAAAAAAAAAAAAAAAAACTACCTTATCTTTAGATTGATCTTTGTTGTAAGAGTGTGGAGGGGCCAGGGAGATGGCTCAGTGGAATAAGTGCTTCCCTGGCAAGTGCAAGGGCCTCAGTTCAATCCCCAGTTCTGGAAAAAAAAAAAAAAAAGTGTGGAGACTGCATCTGCAAGCTTTTAGTTAATTGGAATTTAAGCCATCTGCCCTTAACTGTGACCTTATCTTGTCCATTGAGACATCCCAACTTCACAGGCCAGTACAGACCTCAGTGGAGACCAGTGACTCACAGTTTTACTTACTATGAGTCTGCTACCTGATGAGGGATTTAGTCCTTGGGCAAACTCACACATAAATATGAAAAGCCAGTTGTTTAATATTAAATCCTCCTCAGAGCTTTTTTATAGTGATCTCCATAAATTCTCTATACAAAATCATTGTATTATGTACACCCCAAAGATTGTGGTCTTTGTTTTATATATTTCCCATTGTTTTCATAGATTTGAATTTCTCTGAATTCTGATGGCTACTTTTTTCCTCTGAGGAAACTTTTTTTTTTTTTTGGTTTCTAAGTTACTTCACAATAAATTCCTGAGGTATTGAAATTTATCTTTCTGGGGGCCTGCTGGTTAGCTCAGTTGTTGAAGTGCCTGCTCATGCAAATGCAGTTAGGCGAAGGATACTGTGGTTCGATCCCCACTTCCACCTGCATTACCAGTCCCTCCCTTAAGGCAGCCTGAACCAGCCAAAAAAAAAAGGAAAGAGAAATTTATCTTTCATTTTTCAGTATGTACTTTATGTTGATAAAATATAAGCATATACAGTCTTGACTTACAAATACATACCTGTTTTTTTCCCTGAACATAAGTAAAACATTTTGTGATTACTTCCAGATATTTTTGTCACATGCTGTATCACGAATCACTATTCTGTTTACATGTGGAACCATACAAGGCTGCCTTTCTGTAGAGATCCATTTATTCTCTAATAATCTTCAGATTGTAATAAAAGATATGAGTGTGTTTTCTCTACAGATCACAAGCTACCACCTTGCTCATGAGGTGTTAAATGTTGTTAATATTCTGTTAAACTACACAGTTGTAATTTTTTGAACAGAATAAAGGGGTGGCTTGTTTGTGACAATATATTTTCTTTACGTTTTTTTCCTTTTGTGGCGATAGTCTGACATAATGTCTTAATTGAAAATCCTTAGAATAAGCGCTTGCCTGGCAAGCACAAGGGCTTGAGTTCAATCCCTGATCCCTCAAAAAAAAGAAAAAAGAAAATGTTCACTGGCTTTGAAGTTACCTCATCACTGAGGCTGAACTTTGAACTCCTGGTAATACCAAACTCATAGAAATCCTCCTATATCAGCCTCCCATGTATCACCACACCTAACTGAAGCTTTCTTTTTGTAATTAATGCCTAATCACTTTGTGATATCCTCATTTTTAATGAGTTTAACATTTTATATATACCCTTCCCTTCATTAATCTCATTTAGACAAATAAGGAATTCTTATATCTTAGTACAAAATGATATTAGGTGTCACTGAGATATAGGATAATATGCCACCTAACTTCTATATTGGGAGGCTGAAAATAGGATTACTACAAGTCTGAGCTACATTGTGAGACCCAGTACCAAACACATTAAAAATAAATAAATGAATGAAATGAAAATTCAGATTTAAAAATGCTGCCTATGTAAAAGAAAGAATGGCTTCATTCTATAAATAATCTTATATATAGTCTATTATTTTTCAAAAGCATTGTCTAGATATATATATTTTTTTCCACTTAAAAAAAATAATCTAGAATTAGCCATCTGGACTCAGTTTAGATGACCCCAATTTTGTTGGCAACATCCAATGCATCATAATTGGGAGCCTGCCAAACATAGGCCTTCTCTCCATCAGGCCTGATTAGGGTATTGACCTTGGCAACATTTTGTCATAGAGATTCCTTACAGCTTGTTCAATTTGGTGCATATTGGCTTTGACATCTACAATGAACATGAGTGTGTTCTTGTCCTTGATCTTTTCCATGACTGACTCTGTGATCAAGGGGAACTTGATGATGGCATACTGATCAAGCTTGTTTCTCCAGGGGATGCTCTTCTGAAAGTATTTGGGCTGCCTCCGAAGCCGCAGTGTCTTGGGATGGTGGAAGGAGGGTGATGTTCGTATCTTCTTTTTGTGGCTGTAGATGCCCTTCAGCACAGCCTTCTTGGCCTTCAAAGCTTTTGCTTTGGCTTCAGCTTTGGGAGGAGCAGGGGCTTCCTTCTTTGTCTTTAGTGCCATCTTGGTGAAAAGGCATCTCTAGACATTTTTTTGATTCTATTTTTTGGGAATGGTGATTCACTAGCTGCCTCTACGAGCACTGATTTAGAAACAGTACACGATAGAATTTCTATAATCCTACCAGGAAATCACCATGTACTAATCTGCTGTTTCTCTAGCAGACAAAAGCAGTCTAGCATCAGAACTGTGTGTAAAACTACATACATAACCATGGGTTTAGTGACAAACACATGGAATTTCTATTTCTTTTTTTTTTGTTTGTTTTGCGGTACTGTGGATTGAACTCAGGATCCTGTGCTTGCCAGGCAGATGCTTATTCTACTGAGCTATCTCCGCAGCCCCTGCAGTTTCTATTTGAAGGAACAACTTCAGTTCAGCCTTGATAAAAGAAGAGTTCAAGTTCTCAGATTATTAATGTCAACCTTCTTTCAGGACATATGTCTGTGATTATTTAGGAAGCAGTGACCATGGAGGACGTAGCTGTGAACTTCACCAAGGAGGAGTGGGCTCTGCTGAATCCATCCCAAAAGAAGCTCTACAGAGATGTGATGTGGGAAACATTTAGGAATATAAAGGCTATAGGTAAGGATGACATTCTTTTCTCATGTGTGCAATGAGAGAGCATTGGTCCTTGTTCATGGGCACAGATTCAGTAAATAGATTATGAAAATACTGTGAACAGTGTTGCAACCCTGTGTACATTATACCATGAATGTAACTGCTAACTGCTAATTTGTACATAATGATATGGTGACTTTTTGTATTTCTGTGGCTATCAATCAGGAAGGACTTGGGACAACCAAATGGAGGAAAAGTACAAAAATTGCTCAAGAAATCTAAGGTAATTTGCATTCATAAAGAAAAGTAGTACTTCTTCAGGGACCATGTGTGAACAAAATATTACACTTACTGTCAGTGTTCATATACAAATTCACAGGTTGAATTTGTATAATCTAAAGATTGAATACACAAATATTACAATATAAGAAACTAAATTACTAGTTTTCTTATACAGCAAGAGTCACTTTCCCCTATATTGGTATAAAAAATGAGGAAAAAAAAAAAAAAGGAGGCCGGGGAGATGGCTCAGTGGAATAAGTGCTTCCCTGGCAAGCACAAGGGCCTGAGTTCAATCCCCGGTTCCACAGAAAAATAAATAAATAAAAAATGATGAACATGAAAGTGTATAAAGTTGCATTTAGGAATTCTATATAGATATAAAAATAATGAATCTTATTCTTTAGCAGGAACTCGTTTTCACCTATCTGTTTATGTATATGTGAATATGGGATGTACATTATATAAATATTGCTAACCAGGAAGCAATGTTCAAAATGTACAAGAATTCTAAAATGTTAGTAAAGTGTTTGAAAACATTCTCCAGAGAATTATGTGTATTCATGTTTTTAATTTCAAAGAATGCACCCTCATATATTACTTGTGGGAATATAAAACAAAACCATTTGTATGTACATTATACAGATGTCTCAAAAAATAAAACTACAACTTTGAATTTGATCCAGACAAAATTGCATATGCATATACTGAAAGGATTTAAAAATATATCTTAGTGATACATATGTACTTATACTCAAAATAGGGTATGCATAGTTTCTCATAGTAGTTAAATTATGGAAATAATTCTTAATTCCTAAGCAACAGTCAGTGTATGCATGGCACAGGAGAATGTGGAATACGATAACATAGTAGTACCTTTTTATAATTTCACTCCATGGTTAGCTGAACCAGCAGGATGTCATCTTGAAATTCATCTTACCCAAATATTTCTCTCAAAATAAGAATTTTTTTTTTTTTTGGCAGTACCAAAATAAGAAATTTTAAAAACGTAGAAATATATTTAATTGTTTAGATACTTGTTTCATTCTGAGCACTAAAAAAATATAGTACATGTATTCAGCTTAGCAAAAAGAGGTGTCTCATCTTCTGACAACAAAAATGAAGGTACTTTACCTCACAATGTAAAATGCAGTAATTTAGACACCAAAAATGAATTGTCATATGTTTTCTTATATGAGATATTATATTAAAAATTCGGAAATAAAATTAGGAAATGATAAAAGGCAAGAGTCTTGGAGGAGGACCGGGGAGATAGCTCAGTAGAATAAGAGCTTTCCTGGTAAGTAAGGGCCTGAGTTCAATTCCTGGTAAGGGCCTGAGTTCAATTCCTGGTTCTTAAAAAAAAAAAAAGTCTTGGGGGAAGGTGTCAAAATGGTAAATGTGTTCTACATATGAATTAATGACTTGAATTCAACTTAATTTTTGCTATTGCAAATATGTGATATGTGTATAAATTAAAGAAAATTCAACTTCATATTAGCTATGGCAGATGTGTACAATTCAAAATTAAGAAATGATTGTATTTTATTGAAAAATGGTCATTTTGCTGGCATGCTCAGCATTGGTTCAGAGTATTCATTCAGAAAATATCTTAGCAAGTACTAACCAGAACTTATTGACATGGAGACCATTTTATTGTGATTCATATTTTGTCTTTACAGAAATGATGAGGGAGCAAAATGCTATCAATATAAGGCTTGTAATCAGCCTGAAAACAGATCAAATCATACTTCAGATGTGAATGTGAATATGCAACAAGTTATTTCAAACCCAGCCAGTAGTCTTGTTTGTAGAGAACCCCTAATTGGGCACTCAGCATTAAATGTGCCCATTTTACCTCACAGTGGAGAGAAGCCACATGATCATTTGGGATTTGACGACAAGCTGAGCAAGTATAATGGACATGGAAAAACCAGCAATGATAACCAATCCTTTCAGAAGAATGTAAGAACAAAATATGGAGAGAAACCCAATCAATATGAGCAACGTGGGATATTGTACTCTGAACTTAGTGAAAGAACTAACCCTGGAGGGGAAACCACTGTTGGTCAGGAAAGTGTGAAGGCTTCCAGCACCCAGAGTGGTTTTCAAATCTATATTCACAGTGGTAAAAAGCCATATGTGTGCAAGCAATATGGAAAAACTGTTAACGCTGAAACTAGTAAAATTCAGGAAACGATACCCATTGAGGAAAAACTTTATGTATGTAAACAATGTGGAAAAGCATTCAGGAGAAACACTCAATGTCAAAGTCATGAAAGTACTCACAAAGGGCAGAAACCTCATGAATGTAAACAGTGTGGGAAAGCTTTCACCAGACGCAGTTACTGTAAAATACATGAAAGAAATCACACTCTGGAGAAACCTTATGTGTGTAAGCACTGTGGGAGGGCATTCAGTGTGCAACAGTCTTGTCAAATACACGAAAGAACTCACTCTGGGGAGAAGCCTTATGTGTGTAAGCAATGTGGAAAAGCATTCACTACGAAGCATTATTATAAGCTACATGAAAACTTTCACGCAGGAGAGAAACTTCATGTGTGCAAGCACTGTGGGAAGGCATTCACTACCCATAAATCTTGTCAAATTCATGAAAGAATTCACACTGGGGAGAAACCTTATGTGTGCAAGCAGTGTGGAAAAGCATTCACTATATGGGGTAATTTTAAAAGACATGAAAGTACTCACAAAGGGGAGAAACCTTATGTATGTAAACAGTGTGGAAAAGCATTCACACTGAGAAGTAATTGTAAAAGACATGAAAGAACTCATAATGAGGACAAACCTTATGTGTGCAAGCACTGTGGAAAAGCATTCACCAGGCTTGAATCTTGTCAAATACATGAAAGAACTCACACTGGAGAGAAACCTTATATGTGCAAGCAGTGTGGCAAGGCATTTACTACATACCAGTTTTGTCAAATACATGAAAGAACTCACACTGGGGAGAAACCTTATGTGTGCAAGCAATGTGGAAAGGCATTCAGTATAAATACTAATTGTAAAAGTCATGAAAGAACTCACACTGGGGAAAAACCTTATGTGTGCAAGCACTGTGGGAAGGCTTTCACTACACACCGATCTTGTCAAGTACATGAAAGAACACATACTGGGGAGAAACCGTATGTGTGTAAGCACTGTGGGAAAGCATTTACTACACATCCATCTTGTCAAATACATGAAAGAAGTCATACTGGTGAGAAACCTTATGTGTGCAAGCAATGTGGAAAAGCATTCACTACAAAGAATTCCTATAATAAACATGAAAGAACTCATACACGGGAGAGACTTTCTATGTGCAAACAATGTGGGAAGTCATTCACTACACAACAGTCTTGTCAGATTCATGAAAGAACACACACTGGTGAGAAACCTTATGTGTGCAAGCACTGTGGCAAGGCATTCACTAGACACCGATCTTGTCAAATACATGAAAAAACTCACACTTTGGAGAAACCTTACGTGTATAAGCAATGTGGGAGGACATTTACTACGAAAAGATGCTGTCAAGAACATGCAAAAGGGGCTGGTGAGATGGCTCAGTGGTCTAAAGCACCTACTTAGAATAAGCTTTAGCAAAACCCAGGGACCACGGTTCGATCCCCCAGCACCACATGCCAGCCAGCCTGCCCCCTGGTGGGCTGAGCTGGCCACACACACACACACACACACACACACACACACATATAAATAAATTAAAAAAAAACATGCAAAAGTACATACTATGTAGAAACCATATGGAAGCAAGCAGTATGGAAAAGAATTCACTGTAAATTCAAGCTATATATGTTAGGAAAGCAGTTACACTGGGGAGAATCATTAAATGTGCTGTCAGTGTGAGAGGGCATTTACTACACACCAGTCTTGTTACGCATGTGAAATTAAACTTAGACAAACTTAAGTGGGCTATGTGGGAAAAGATTTGGTAGTAAGTCCTCAGTTTATATACATAGATTGCACATTGGGGAAGATCCCTGTGTATATAAACAATGAAAGCATTCAATGGACTTTTTTTTTTTTAATCAACCATGAGAAAAGATTCACTGGAAAATCACCCTGTAGATGTATGCGTATTTGGAAAAACCTGTGAAAATTAATCATGTTTCATCACCTGTAGGAATATATGAAAAATTTGATGTCAATACTTGTTCATATACTTTTTAAAAAATACAGTCCCAAATGGAAATATCCTTTAATATTTTTTTTCTGCTTTTCAGTAAATCATTTGTAAATAACTGAACTGACTCTATGTACTGTTTATTAGAAACAATATATTTTTTAAAATTTTATTTATTTATTTTGTGTGTGTGTGTGTGGCCAGCTCAGCCCACCAGGGGGCGGGACTGGCTGGCATATGGTGCTGGGGGATTGAACCGCGTCCCTGTGTTTTGCTAAGCTTGTTCTAAGTAGGTGCTTTAGATCACTGAGCCATCTCACCAGCCCCTAGAAACAATATTGACGTAATACATTTTTAAGCAATGATTTGTCACTTCCAAGTAGGGTTAATGTTCATGTATTTTGGTATTTCCCCTGCACCCCTGTGGAAAGGTATGGACCACTAAAACAATAAATTTTAATTCAGATTTCCCAGTACTTTGAGATTTTCTTCATGTATTTATCTTATACTCTATATATAAATAATAACTTTGAGTTTGATGTTATATGTGTGAACACAAGCATATTTAGAGCAGTGTAATCCTGTAGTTTTTGAAAGTTTGTTTCTTTATACAAAACTTGTAGATTAGCAAATTTTTTTTCATATCCTAACTAGATATTTGCCTATATCCAAAAAGTTACATAAAGTGCGTAATTTCACTTATTTTTCTTTCATGTTGAAGCCAGTGCTATGATTTATATAAAATTTGTTGTATGCACATTAATATTTTACTTTCCATGCTTATACTATTATGACTTCAAATTTGCAGGTATTTTTTTTTTAATGTGTTTAGCCCAGGGTTTCACTATGCAGCCTAGACTTGTAGTGATCCTCCTGTTTTCAGCCTCTCCAGCACTGGGATTACAAGTATCAGCCACCACACCAGGACTCTTGTGTCCAGCTTAGCATGCCCAAGGATGGGGCCAGTGCTGTGGTTCCTTGGGTTGAACCCCAGTCCCTATGCTTGCCTAGGAAGGCAATTAGTCTGTTAAATTCTCCAGCTTAATTTTACTAAAATTTACACCAATACTAAATCACTTGTGACAAATGAGATGGACCATACTTTGTCCAATAAAGGATGTAATGAATTGTGACATATCAGTCGTGCTTACTACAGAAACAGTCAATGTGAGATGCACAAATATGTAACAATTTGCATCATTGGCTTACAAAGACTGCCCACACACTCAAGATGTGGAAGGGTATAGAAGATCTTGAAGGACATGCACAAAAAATCCAGTCAAGGCCTGAGCTAGAAGTTGAAGTGTCTATGCTGGAAGCCAGGCAATGACTTTCAGTTGACAGTGAATAGTAGACTATCATCCTATAGATGTGAGCCTGTTTGGAAAAACTTGTGAAAATTTGTCATCTTTCAATACCTGTAGGCATATATGAAAATTTTGATGTCAGTAATTTTTCATAGGGCCGGGGAGATGGTTCAGTAGAATAAGCTCTTCCCTGGCAAGCACAAGGGCCTGAGTTCAATCACTGGTTCCATCAAAAAAAAAAGTAATAATAATAATTTATATACTTTTAAAAAAGCACATTTCTCTGCTGAAACACATGTAAGCCTTTGGAAACAGTCACAATGTGAGATATACAAGTAGATAAGAACTTACATGATTGGCTTATAAAGATTGCCATATGGCAGACCAGCCCAGACCCTGGATGTGTTGATTCAGGAACTGAATCCGAGCATGATGGCATGTGCCTGTAATCCTAGAAATGGGGAGACTGAACACAGAAGGATCAGTGTGAGTCTGAGCTGCATAGTGAGACTCTGCAAAATACATAATAAAAGAATGAATGAAGAAATAATAAGCCAAGTAACATTTGGCCAGGGAGGTTAGTTCAGTGGCATAAGTGCCTGCTTTGCAAGCACAAGGTCCTGAGTTCAACCCCCGGTACAAACAGAAAAAAGATGACCAATATTTAGTCTGTCAACATATTACACTGGAAGAGTATTAAGAAAGATCTGTTACAATTTTCATTTCTGTAGCTGATCATGGGATCATAGTTTGTATGCAGAACTGCTAGTGTGGCAGTTTCTGTATTTGTTGGCTTTAAACAAACACTTCAGTTTGTCTTGTTTCTTTTCCCTAAAGTGGAGATCCTTAGCATCATTCCTATAAGATGTGGACCATTTGAAATTTGGCTTAGTTTGTATTTTATAGTTTTATGTAGGTATCTCTTGTAGTTATAAAGTATTGTTATAGTTTCCCATTGGCTTTAATAACAGTGTGAGAATGCAAGGCCACAGACACCCTAATGTATCTCTTGCCATCTGAGTATATGCTTTTTTTCTCTCCATTTTGGAGTAATAGTACAGCGTTTCCTTGGCCATGTAAATCAATAAGGTCTCCAAACACTGCATTTACATTTTTTTTTCCTACAGTTTTATTGATAAACATATAGCAATGAGACAGTTTCAAATCAAATCAGAAGTACAGTTTCAACAAATAATACACTGCATATATTCTTCTTAGTGGTTAATTGCTGTACAAGATGCGGACTTGTGATCCTATTTACAAACACCATTAGAACAAATCATTCCAGTCATTAAGACAATGCAACTATATATCTACCCCAACCACTTTGAATACACAGATACAGAATGGACATTCATCGGTGTACCCCATTTTTCCTAAGTTCCGTTACTGAATATTATAGCTGTGTAAACTCAGCAAAATATTCTAAAAGAGTCCAGTAGCCCATAATAGCATTGGGTCTTCTGTTTAACTGGCAATGTCAGAAATTATTGACCTGAGTCCCCCACAGCTTAACTTAACAGCATGGCTTTATTTCTTATATTTCGTCTTCATACTTTTCTACTGGATGGTTAAGACCAAGGTAAAGCAGGACCTGTGCAACAAGAGTTGTAGCTTTTTGGTCTGAGAAGGTCAGTGAAATGCCCTCAGGATTTGTCCTGAGATCCTGTACCTCATATTGTAGAACCTTTATCAGTGCAGCCATGTGGATGAGTCACGACCATTGCTTGGCCAATGCATTTACATTTTTAACATTACATTCCTTAAGAATCATGAGACCAAAATGACCCGCAGAGTATCTTTACTTCTAGTTTACAGGTATCACTATTCTTCCTGGTACAACCCTCTGTTATGGAGCTAAGACTTCTTTCTAAGGCAGCAGAATGTAAGGTGATGAGAACAGGGTGTAGTTTTTGTTAAAATGTCTCTTGGTTTCACTGACTGGTACTACAGTTACTTCTACCCCTTCATTCCTTGACCCATGAAGCTTGGCTATGGGAGCCAAGCCCATAGAGTGCATGCTGACACAGCATAAACACAGCTTTTTCAAGAACCTTGTCCCAGCCCTCTATGCTATTTCTACCATAATTGGTGCCACAAGTACGTCTTCAAAATATTTGAACTTCGTAATGCAGCAGCATCTGGATGGTGATGAACACTGTAAACTCACTGAGTTTCATAAGGATGATGCCGTAATCTCTTTTGGCATCAAATATATTCCTTGGAGTTTAAGCCAATGCTGTTTAGAATTCCATAATCAGAGATAAGGAATCATGTAAATTAATGATTGGGAGTTTTGTTGGAAGGATGATAGGAAATATAAATCCATATCCAGAAAAACTTCCAATAAGAACAAAGCACAACCCTTCCATGGTGAAAGCAGTCCAATATAATCAGATGCCCCAGTTCAAAGGCTAATCCCCAAGCAATGGTCCCTCTCTTGGGAAAGTGTTCATCTGTGCTGTTGGCATATTGGGCCTGCAGCAGTGGCTGTAGTCAAATTATCCTTGGTGAGTGAGAGTCCATGTGACTAAGCATGCATAGCCTTCATTCCTGCCAATATACCCACTCTGTTCATGAGCCCATTGAGCAATGGAAGGGGTTTATCCCCTTTGTTGTTAAAATCCTGTTCTGCTGAGGTGACATTTTGTTGAAAATTTATAACCCTTCTCTTATATAAATAGATCTATTCACATCTTTCATCCCCAAATGTCCTTGTGACCAATTTCCTACTTATATTTCTTCATGTTTCCAAACAGCTAGTTAGACCATCAACTGCAGCCCATGAATCAGTATATAGTTGCATAGCTGGCCATCTTTCCTCCCAGGAAAAATATACTATCAATTACTTGGCCCAAAGTGCTGTCCATTGTGAAGATTTTCCTCCACCAGTGTCAAAGGTGGTATAATGCTGCAGCTATCCACTTATGGGTGATACTTGCATAACACCAGCTGTAAACAGTGGCAAGGCTTTTTCACACCCAAGGAGCTGATGCTACAATAGTACAATTCATGAGGCCACCATACTTACATGTTCCGAAAAGGAAATGTAGGAGCCACGGGCATCCAAAGACATTCTTCATGTAATGTACTCTTTTGACTTGCTCTGTCCTAACCACATGTGTACAGTTTCAGTCTAGGGCTAGAAAGTTTATATTAAATTGAAGTAGAACAGTGAAGGTATATTGCTGGTCTTCCCCTCTGAAAACAAATTATTTCATATGAGTCATGCAGATAGGTAACTAGAAGGATGGCATTTGCCAAGCCAATAGCTGCATACTAAGATCAAGTGATGGGTTGATTTCAGCAAAAAAATACCACATCTGTAAAAGTGTTGCAATTGGAGTCTACTTGATTCAGTTTGTGCTCATGTACCATCATTCTTGAGATCCATCTGTGTGCATAGGCCAAATTGAAGAATTAAATGGAGGGGCTGGTGAGATGGCTCAGTGGTCTGGAGCACCTACTTGGAACAAGCTTGGCAAAGCACAGGGACCGCGGTTCGATCCCCCGGCGCCACATGCCAGCCAGCCCCGCCCCCTGGTGGGCTGAGCTGGCCACACACACACACACACACACACACGTAAATAAATAAAAATATTTAAAAAAATAAAATAAATGGAAGTATAATGGGAATGTACTGCTTCATTCTTCAGAGCCTTGAGAATGGCAATAATCTTCCCCAATCCCTCCAGGAAAGCACTATTGTTACTTATTTTAAAAGTTTCCCAAGAAAGTAATTGTAAAGGATTCTTTTTGGTATTCCACTTATCGAGCCCTCACACTACAGTTTAAGGAACCAGTATGAGGACTGTTAAAGAACAAAGTATATCTACCCCAACTCTGCATTTGGAAAAGAAGGAATTACAGGATGAATTTGAGGACATACAAGATTAACTGTGTTGCATTTTTGCTAGAATTCCATTCATTACCTAAACTCCATAGGCCCCTACTTTTACTGGAGGGGCATAATATTTGGAATCTTGTGGAATTCTAAGTGGTTTAGAACCAGTGGCCCCTAGTGCCCAAATTTCCACATTCCTCAATTTACAGTTATTCAGGTAAATGTGCTTACGTCCTCTTGGGGAATGGTGGGAGAAAGAATAAGCATATAAATTTTTGGTGGTGCACCAGGGTCCTATCTCAAGGGGACTTGGTCTTTTCATTCAAGGAAAAGACGTGTGAAATGGTGCATATTTGGGAACTGCTTAAGGAGCCATGATTCTTGCTTACTTTGATCTGAAATAAGTCTCTTCATATTCTCTTTCTGTTTTGATACTTTGCATCTAGTAAAAGGTGGTTTTTTTTTTTTTTTTTTTTTTTTTTTTTTTGTGGAACCAGGGATTGAACTTAGGCCCTCGTGCTTGGCAGGAAAGCGCTTATTCCACTGAGCCATCTCCCTGGCCCTGAGTAAAAGTTTTATGGATTATTCTGATCATTGTTCTTTTTCTGCTGTACGTTTTCATAGGTGCCTGCACTTTGCTTTTGGCAACTATGTGTTGTCACTTCACTCCTGCCACTTTGAGAACCAATCAAACCCATTGTCTTTTTTTTTGTTTTTTTGGTTTTTTTTTTCTTCGTAGAACTCAGGCCCTTGTGCTTCCCAGGCATGCGCTTATTCTACTGAGCTATCTCCCCAGCCCTAAATCCATTGTCCTTAATTTTTACATTGAGCATCTGTAGTCCCCACTCTAAGGTCCAGCATACTGAGAAGAGCAGTTATAGGTCTGTTCACAGATACTGGTACTCCCCTCATGAATGCACTTCTCAAGGTTTTACTGAAGGGAATATTTTCTGGAACATTCCAGTGTGACAGATCTGTTCTAGCATTCCCATTTTCCTAAGCCTGTGAATCTAGAGACTTCAGCAAACAATGAAATGTAAGGCACCTCTGACTTCTTCAGTGTGGGTCATATTGTGATCCATATTTGTACCAGTGAAATAAACTATTAATACCTTTCTTTATGCCATGTGCTACAAATTGAGAATCACTGCTTAAAAGGCCCATATCAACATACCCAACCTGATCCAGTTGTATTGTTTTCATACCATTATCCCAGACATAAAATTCATTTGTATATTGCTCATCAAGCCTCTGCTTAACAAAAACTTAAAGTTCTTTCAAGAATAGTAGACATCTTCATAGTTTATACAGCATACCTCAAACTATTATTTTTTTTTTATTTGTTTAGAAACAGGGTCTCACTATGCACTTCAGGCTGGCCTTGTCCTTACTTTAGTAGCCCCCATCCTGGTCTGGAACTTGCAGAGATCCTCCTGGCTCAACTTCCTGAGTGCTGGGATTACAGCTGTGTGCCACCACACCCGGTTCTGCGGCTGATTCCGCATGGTATATGAGGCCAAGGATGGAACTCTGGTCCTTGTGCTTGCCAGGTAGGTGCTTATGCCTCCAAGCTCTCACTCTTCAGCCCCTGTACCTCAAACTTTAAATAAAGTGTGTCTTTCAAGGTCAGTCTTGTAGGAAGGGAGACAGTCGTGCATGGCGAGGGTGGATCTGAAACAATATCAGGATTATTATGTTTGGTCAACACAGAATCAGTTTTCTGCAGGTATAGTACCAGAAGCTAACTCTACAAGGGTAGGTCTGTGTATGCCCCCAGCACAAAGTAAAGAAATCTCTTTCTCTGGAAAAAAAATCTCATGAGAATTTAGGTGCTAAATACCCTCAGCCTCATGAGAGTGATCTAAATATTTCTATACCAGGACACAGGAACCTATTTGGTTTTGATAAGAGGCCTTACCTTTACTTCAGATACCCTTCAAAGCAGAGTATTAAGTACAGTTTTTCACCTAGGTGAATTATCAGGAGCCCATGAATGGGTTTTTGTAATCTTACTTGTTTCCAAAGAACAGAAAAACTTAGAAATTTTAAAGTTTTAGAATTTGAAGCTAATAATATGAATCTTAGCACTGTTTTCATTTATTTTATTGCTTTCAGAGTTAGAAGAATTAGTTTGTTGATTGGTTGAGCTAACTGTCCTTCATTAGTTTGTCCAAAGGTGCTATGAGAAACCAACAGTCATCATTATTTTTTCCACTCTGCCATAAGTATACAAAACTCTCATATACAGAGTCAGTAAATTCTTCCCATTTCATAAGTGATGATTTATGGCGATCATAAAAATCTTTGTTGTGTATGATTTTCAACAATTCACAACAAGGACTATTTTTCTTCCCCATAGCACTAGAAAGACTGATCATTCCATCTTTGTATCTCATCAGATTAGAATCCACTCCAGGAATCCTAAAGCCATGAAAAAATTTCACTTTTGCAATTGTCCTTCCCTGGAATCACTCTTATAGAAAAAATTTGCATCAGTCAATATTACTAGAGAAACTTTTTTTGTTGTTGTTTTTTGCGGAACTGGGGATTGAACTCAGAGCCTTGTGCTTGCCAAGGAAGCGCTTGTTCCACTGAGCCAGCTCCCCAGCCCCTAGAGAAACATTTAATGGAAGATACATACATTTAAAAGATTATCAAGCATTAAGAGTACTTGTTCAATACTTGCTGCATAATTTTTATTTGGACTAATCCTATCAGCTGTAGATTATCAACTGAAAAAAATACAGTGTCATTGTCATGGTGTGTGTACTGTTACAGAAGCAGTCTAAGTTACATATGTGAGCAGCACTGGTGCAGCAGAAACAGCTGACTGGGGATTTGTGTCCTAGTTCAGGGTTTCAGTGGCACTGTAGGAAGCTGCCAATTTCTTTCTTTTTCTTTTCTTTTCTTTTTTTTTTTTTTTTTTTTTTTTTT